CTTTCTTTTTTTTTAGTGTTATCATCACCTCTTGTACGGGCAAAACTCAAAACAATCTTGCACGTGTACACATGAATGTTAAAACTAAAAGCAATTTTAAAAGAGCGATCGGTGACGGCTGTACCGTATTATTATTATTATGAAATGACCCAAAGGCAATATGCCTATCGAGGGGTTCATTTGATTGAAAGAACAGTACTACTACTAGTACATGTATGTACAAAGACAAGTAGGGATTGATGAGGAAATGGGGAAAATCAACTGCAAGATGGCGGAATTCCATTGATTACATAAATACCTAAAACGATAAAGGCTCAATGTTGAGTCACCTCCACCATTACACTGCGCTCTTTAGCCGACTAGACCCTCCTGCACACAACCATCACCATTGCGAGGACACTTCCGTGGACGATATTGATAAACTCCTTCAGACAGCTGTTTCGCTAATACATAGCTCATCAGTGAAGGTAGATGTTGAATGATCAAAAATATAGACCAAACTGCTATTATAGGAGGTTTCCACATACAAAACTGGCATAGCGGAGGTGATAACGCGGGAAAAGGAAAGTGTGAAGTACTGTTGACGCGCATTGGACATGCATATGCATGCAGCGTCGGAAATTCGGCGCGGAAAATCAATCACTATTCAATGCAGAAATAACGTGCCAGAATCAGAGTACTATGTACATGTAGCTAGTGAGAGTCTGTACTAGTAATGCAGTTATCCGAGCGCCATGAAGGCCTGCGAACGCACCTCATGACCCGCCGACGTCGACAGTCACAGCAGCCCCAGGCCCAGGGGCATGACACTGTACTGATCGCCCGTCGCGCCAAGACGCTTGGCAGTCATTACTACACTAGGCTTCATGCCACCGATGTTGTTGTCCGCAAGCTACCTTGTCAACAGTACTTCACACTTTCACACACGTTCTGTAATGGTTGTATGATGGTGATATTAAAACTAGTGTGTATTCGGGAAAACATATCCCAATTCAGCAGGAAAAGTGGAGCCGGTGAGAACAGGTGATTGCAGTACATGTATGTGGTTTGTATTGCAGTTTCGTACGTACATGTACATGGATAACTTGTGAAGTCGTGTCGTTCTATACACTTTGAGGTTTCTCGTTTGGGCCTTATCAACTACGACGCCTTTACGCCCGGATTATCAAAATAGTCCCAGTTGCAGTTGTCCCCTCCATCAAAAAAAGCCAAACGGATATTATCATGATAATATCACCATCAGCTTTGTTCGGCGAAATCCGCTTTTTCATGGCCGCTCGCCATAAATAATTGCATGTGCATGATTGTACAATCATGTACTTCGCAATGCCGCCTTGCGGGAATCCGGGCGACCAATCCTAATCCCGATTCGAAAAATCGAACACCTTGGCTTCACTATGCCGTTTACACAGCCAAACTGCTTCGAAACAGGCGCTAGGCGCGACACAGACCCATATTAATAAGGCCATACCGGTATGCCCCCATGGCAATTATCATGATTATGCCTCTTGCCAAGTACACAATGTTATGGCATTATGATTGGGCCACCCAGAATTAATTAATTCGTTGTTTCGGGTCACCCGACCGACTGTCTTTTTTCACCCCACCGCAATTTTTTTTAGTGCATGCAAATGTGCATGACTATGATAGACTATGTACACATGGCACACACGCGACCCAAAATATAGCAGTCCGACATCGACCTCAGAAGCAGCCGACAGGATGCAGCACTTGGTGACGACGTTGTCTTCTATCTCCGATTCGCAATCGGTCCTGAAACCATGGAAACAGCATCAGCTCCGCCGCGCTGCGTCGCTCATTGACAGAAGTTTTCAAGCTGCTCGTCGGACTCGTTTGCCAGCGAGGCCAAGATCGGGTCCTGGAGGGGACCTGGATCTGATGGGACAATGGCTACGCTGGATCGACTACAGTCAGATTTGATCGACTCGGACTGGCTTGATGGAGAAAAGCTATTCGATATGCACATGCCCGCACCTAAAATAAAAAATAAAAATAAAATAAACCCGACCGACCGACCCTGGCCTGGGCATGGGCCGCGCACTTGTTTTCGGCTGGACTCGTACCCAGATGTAGACAAGGCCACCAAGAATTAATTCGTTGTTTCGGGTCACTTCACTCATCCGTACCATGGTACCATGGTACGGATGAGTGAAGTGAAGTGCGCGCGGGATCCGGGAAGCAAAGAAGAGGAGATCTCGAGGCAATCATGGTCAGATGATAATGTAATGACTATGTAGGGCTGGCAAGATGAACGTCCTCTTTTCTTGCACTTGCAGTGCAGCGTAGTTTGGTAGCCCAAGACTTACTATGGACGACTTTTTCCCGCCAAGAAAACGATCCGAACCCAAGAGCTGGTAACCTTCACCCGCCTCCCCTCCCAACCAAGATGTAGTAAACTATGTTCAGCTCCTGAGTCTAACTAATTACTTGGCGCAAGAAAAGAACGGTGTGCCAGTACCTTCGGCTCTTTCCGTCTCTTGCGACGTCGACTCGTTGTGACGCTAAAATTGTTTGTTTTCAGTTCCGTGAGTGTCTAGTTGAACTCTGTCCTAATGCAGAACTAGATTGTAGCACTCAGGCTTTGGTAGAAACAACAATTATTAGTAAGTGTGCGAGATACTAATTATGTTCCGCGATTTTCGGCAATGGGTAGATCTACAAGCATTGTACTTGTAGATCTACGCCTGATGTAGCTCCTTTCCATGGTCTGGCCCTCTGGGGTTTCGTGCAGAGCCTAGGACTGAGCTCAGTAGTTCAAGAGCACCGAGCGGTTCAGCGTGGAGCACGTCGGCCAAGGTCAGTCGTGCCATCTGCCGTTGCAAGGGGTCAGGGTTGGTAAGCTCACTAATCCTGGGGCCAATGTCTGATTGTTACACATACATTGCCGTTAGTCATTAGTCAGTGCTGTTACTTGCCCGGCATGACTCTTTGTTCCCCTTTTGTCTTGTGAGAATCAAAGTAATTGTCAAGATGCGTCGTTCGCCTCCGCGTTTCGCCACATGACGCGTAGCGATGGCGCGGGAATCTCCGAGCGCGAAGTCGAAGCAGCACTGGAAAAGGTGTTCCGTGCTCACTGCTAATTGCTGACTGGCAGAACAAACAGAGACCCAAGTCTGGTACTAACTATTAGTATTACTTGGTGGTCGTTCCAAGACTTCACTCTTCAGCCTTTTACGATTTAGCATTTTAGGATTGCACGTAGACTCCCCATGCAGTGTGGTCGAACTGAGAGACCCACTCGTGGCGGTGTCGGGCGAAGCCTGGCCGCGTAGTTGCTAGCCGTGTTAGAAGCGTTACTTCATAGCAGGGATGTGCCAATTACGCATTCACACACTGCACTTGTTCACACTGCCCTGTACACAGCAACACGGTAAAGCGGGCAGTATGGTCGGAGCGGTAGAAGGACACTCGCGCGAACTAAAATTCATTCTGAAAGAAACGATCCGCACGACAACTGCAAACACTGACTGATGGGCGGCGAGGCGAGGATTCCTTAGAAGCGGATCCTGAACTGGGCTTGCTTTTCCAGAGCACTGGACAGGGTCTTGTGGCTATCAGTTCGTAACGGAGTCCAGGAGGTAGTGTCGACCATTGGTCGACGGCATAGGTGTGTAGTAATGGCGCCGATAAGAGTGACCCGGAGCCGACGTGGCGGCGTTGGCGGTGGTGGCCTGGGGCAGCCGTGGTGGTCAAATGCCGCCTTGCTGATCTGTGCACTGTGTGTAAATCATGTAGCGCAAGGTTAGTCTGGATGCTGGCAGCGCTCATGTGCATTTCTGCAGGCAGGCTACAGCAGTTAAATCGACTCCACTTATAACGAATTCGCATAATTATAGCGAATTTCTTGATATAGTTGTCCCTGTCCCAGTTTGAATCCACAGTGCAAGTGTATTTCTGTTATAACGAACTTTGGCTATAAAGAACTAATTTTCCTGCACGAGGATGTTCGTTACATCAGGAGTCTACTGTACATGTACAGAGTTTTGTAAACAGCTATCGCTGTTTGACATGCTGTTACAACCATGACCACAACCACTTCGCAACACATTATAATACGAGGAGATTTGTTATTATTCCGGAACAAGTCAAGTTCGCATGCATCCTTGCAAAAACGCATCCAGTCACACCATGCACCGTGTATACGCCCATTGCAAGGGAAGCACGCAAATCTGCAAATGCACACACATAAGCACACACACACGCACACACACACACACTCACACACACCACACACTCACACACACACCACACACACACACACACACACACACACACACACACACACACACACACACACACACACACACACACACACACACACACACCTTGAAAATGCCCATTGCCGATGGCAATGAATGCGAAGGGACTATCTGCTAGCTTTTGCAGTACAGAGCATGGCGCTTGAGATCCCGGGGACGACGGCAGACCTTTCCGCATGCGCAGCGGAAGCCAGAGTCAGGATCAGGGGAGCACGGGAGGGAGGACAACGGTGAGCAATCTGCCTCCAGGCAGAGCGATCTTGGGGAGCAGCAAACCAGCACACACACCCACACACACACACACACACAGGTGCGCCCCCGTGCAAACGAAGGGGGGGGGGGGTGCTTCTAGTGATGAACAACCTGGAAAACTCTGCATAGCTCAGCTAGGTAGGTGTGAAAAGAATACAACACCAATGTTGTGCAAATGTGAAATGACAATCAATGGAGTTTGTTTCGACATACGGTCATAATTGCCGCCACTCTGTCACTGCTCTGGTCTTGGAGAGAAGCGTTTACTGCTTTTCGGTTGTGCTGGTTTCTTGTACTCTGTGCATGCTTATGAATGGCAGGCAATACAGATCATTCCATTGTTTTTTCAGAGTCTCGCGCCCCATTGCGTTGTTAGCAATCAGCCCGGTATTGGTCTGGAAGTGGTGTGTCTCGCTTTGCAATCTATCTTTTTATTTTGTTACAGGAATAATAGCACAACCACAGTGGGAGCACAATGTCACTCTGGCGTCACCGGATGCAACAGCAGACTCTTATGTAGTGCAGGTTATCCGTGTTGTCTCAACCACTATGCGAGAAACTGTCTTTGTTCAAACTATTCGCTCTGCCAATGGTTTCCCTATAATGGTCTTTGCTAGTCTAGGGAACCGCTACTGGGTTCATCTGTTCCGTGTCAGCCGCGAGGGCTTCTTCAACACAATAAGCTGGACGTTCTTTAACCCATCCAATCTCACGGGTAAGACATGGAATGATACATCAGTGAGCGCATGAGAATGAATTCAGCTACGTTATTAGTGTCAGATGCCGAATAATTGGAGATTCAAAGCTGCGGCCTTGGCCGTTCTTAATTTTCATGTGGAAATCTCCATTACAGCCGTCATGTACATTATGGAGATCCTGTACCTGGTGAAATTCTAGCCCGTTCATTACCAGGTCTGGGAAATCGCCTAGTTAGGGCATCGGAGGTTTCCTTGGAAATCACGTACGGTGCGTACGCGTCTGCAAGCGTCATATTTTTTCTTGCACAAAGTGAACATGGATTTGTAAGCACCGTGAATCAGAAAAAATCTGTCCCTTGCATGTCCAATGCGGAAAAACCTGCTGAGTTGCGGAGATTCTGTGCATGCGAAGATGAGAGTAATAGGACTCCTTGAGATATCCAGTGAAAAAAATTCACTTTCATGTGCCGATTTTTCAAAAAGTGAAGAAAATAAATCGCTTGGAACGAATTTATCACAGTTTGTTGTGGTTTATTGAGCTGAGGCAATGAAGAAGAGCGGTATCCAGACGCGGCGCTCTAAGCGTAGAGTTAGTGTTACTCCTGGACACTACTCTTGTCCTAACCCTTTCCATTCGGATTGGGAAAGCCCTTCCTCGTCCGCCAAGGATACGACAACGAGAAGGGCTGTGCTGAACGTCCTCTCCAGTATTGCTCGACGTCCTGTTTCCTCGATTTGCAGAGGGTGCAAAGCTGTGGCCGACTGCAAGCCAGAAGTCGTCCAGCACGAGCTGTATGCACCACCAAGGACGTCCGCAGACTCGCTCAAGGTTCCATCTCCAAGTGAGGTACCTCACGGCCCCACCTACCCCACTCCCAGAAAACAAACCTGTAGGGTGTGGGGACTGTGAGGCATTAGTAGTAGGGTGTGGGGACTGTGAGGAACTAAGGGATTTAGTGGAGAAGTTGCAGAAGGAGGTTGAGGGGTTGCGGGAAGAGAACGTGTTGCTGAAGTCAAGAGAATTTTTAGATGAGCTTCTTGCGACAGAGCAGGGTAGGGTAAAGGTAGTTAATGAGATATGTAAGATAGAGAATAAGTTTCTGTTTGCAGAAATTCTAGACGCCATTAGCCACTCAAAGGAGAGTAGGAAAGTGGAGTCATTGCTGGGCATCCCCGCTCGGCGCATCACTTCCCGCTCCTATAATCCCATAGTAGAGGCTTTTGTGTGTGGCATGACGGCGCCACTTTCAGTGCAGTCGTCCGCAGGGGCAGCAAAACGTAGCATGCGCCAAATGTAGCAATTCAGAGTGTGCAGTCACAAACATCAGGGCTGCTATCGCAGAAGCAGCGGTCTTTCTCGAGTGTCCACTGAAGTTCTCCGTCTTCCGTCTTCCCCGACAGTGGGTGCAGGATCGCACTTGTAGCAGACAGTGGCGGGGTTAATGTAGAGCGGGTTAGGGCAACACGCTCAGTGCAGTTGGATTCTCCTCCTGTCCCTCCGGCAAATGTAGGATTGCTTGAGCCTGTCTTTGTGAACCCCAATTCACATGAGGCAGTGCGTGTTCTCCTGAGGGAAATTGGGACAAGTGCAGGTGTGAAACAATGTGTTGGTGAGCAGGGCTGTAGAGAGTGGCTTACCATTGTCTGTGATGGCCTTCCATATTCACTGATGCGTACTGCCATTGCTCAAAGTAGAGACGAGGCCAGGAAAGCAGCGTACCATGCCGTGGGCATTTTAGATGTAGGTAGCATGACCAAGGAGTCGTTGGTGGGCTACTGTAGGCAGCACTCTTTGAATGTGTCTGGCAGCCTAGCATCATTGCGTAGCCGTGTAAACACTCATCTACAGGGCAGGGTAGCGAGTGGAGGTTTGAATGTGCTGGGTAGCATCCCTGCAGGTGAGTTCGACTGGGTTGTGTCGCAAAGTGGAGGCCTTCACTGGGAGATGAACTTAATCCAGGCCATTGTCAAGACTCTTTGGCCTTTTGTGTACAAAGAGTTTTGTTTCAGTCAAGGCTACACTTCTTCTTCGCCGCGTCAGCTGGACTGGGCCCACAAGGCCAAGGACCACCACCGCACTTATGATGAACTCAGTCGCTTCATAGATGGATGCATGGATGAGCTGCTACGCCGCTATGTTGTGTCATGTGCACGTGATTGTGCCCCCACTGCCGGTGATTTTGTCATAAATTTTGAGCACCTTCGTTTATTATCTTCATCAACAATGATAAACTATGTTTTTTTTACTAAGAATCCCTCGTTTCAACTCCAAATGTTTGCCTTTGACGATATGGCATATGGTATTCTCACATGCCACGTTCTAGAACAAAATCAGAATATACCGGTATTAATATGTACATGGTGAATCAACTCGTAATGATATTTGTACATGATGGTGAATCAATTTTTACTGGTAAGAGTTTGGGCGTGCTATGCATGCGACTGGAGTAAAGCTAGGCTTAGTGCATGATAAGGTGGGAGTTGGTGAGGTGGGAGTTGGTGGGGTGGGAGTTGTAGGGGCAGGAGGTGGGGAATTCGATTTTTAACCTTTTGAGCACGACGCTACCTGAATGCCTCCCCACGGCAACACCTGCAAAAGTGGCGTTTTTCATATGAAAGTACTACCTGTTCAAGGATCGATAACTTAACCTTCCCTTGGACGAATTCCACGATCTTGAGCTTCCTGGAAAGGTCTTGAGACGAGGAGAAAACTAGTTCCAAACTCAGCTCGGAGCGAAACTAAACGCCCATGCTACAGTCTGGCAAACTTCACCCACGCGCTCGACAGACTTGAGCACGGGCAAGAGACCAAATCCTCAGCTGCCATTTCACCCTCCTTGCTCGTATCGAGCTCAAATTTTTTTGAGGACTCCCGAGATCCGCCACCATCATTTGAATCTAGTTTCCATGGCAGCAGGTAGCGCAAAAATGATCGAAAATGATCGAAAATGCAAAATACGCGTTCTGCAGATCGCGCAAAAAATTCTCTTTGAATTTGCCGTGTCGAGTCGCATATCTCAACAACCCGGGGTCGTATCGCTTCGGCGATTGTTTCTATCGCAAGCTGAGAGTTTTCTCTTCCAGATACATACTTCGATCGTGAGAATCGACCAAGAATTGACTGAGTTACGATAGTTTGAACGCACGCGATCCACACAAATCGCGTATATGCGCGATGTACACTCAGGACGTAATATTACGTCCTCCGTGGTGCAGTGGTATTCTGAATGACGTATTATTACATCCTTCGTGCTGAACAGGTTAAAGGGCTGGGAAGAAGTCGTCTACCGGACTGCTGCTATATAGGTGCTCAACACCTGATGGAGATATCACCAGAACTAGCACGTTGGCGTGTGTAGCTTCATGAAGCTCCATGCCCTGCGTCAACACAAAGATGCAAACACAAGAAACTTATCAGATGAAAGTTCGCAATGTACAACAAGGTAGAGGATAGAGGATACTTACCGCTCGAATCAAGCCATATTTACGTTTGCTGAGGCAGCTCAGGCGCTTGACTTTGTCGGCGATATAGCCAGTTATCTTTCTCTTACGAGTCGACGGGGATGAGGAGTTGAGTGACATTGTACAATCAAAAACGGAAGTAAAACAAATGCTGGACGAAAGGAAAGGAAAGGGGATTTTTTGAAAAAAAGTTCATTTTCCCTTTTGTTATGACCACCGCGTCCTGTGGGACAGGGTCCAGCTCCGCCTTGGCGTTATATTTCTCCTTCTGACGTAATGTATTCATCACGTGGGACCCGTACATACACATTGTCCTACCTAGACGATTTCCAGGACTGATTACTTGACGTATCGCTCCTTAGTGCCCGCAGAAGCAGCACGTCAGGGCGTTAACACATGTTACAGTAAAACCTGGCGTAAGCGACGTCTGGTTTTAACGACCGTTTTTCCATGCACGGACAGTTCTACACACACACTGTGGGACCTGGTTCTAAAGACCGCCTGGCTTTAACGACCGCTTTTGCTTACACCGTGGGGTGGTCGCTTAAACCAGGTTTTACTGTACCTGAAGTTACAAAGTGGTGCACAGGGGTCCTTTATGTACTGACAACATATACTAAACTATAAAGAGAGGTGTCGTAGAGCAGCAATGATGTTACCGCGTCCATATGTAGAATCGCCCAGCGTGACCAGTGCACACATCGTAGCAATGCCCCCCCCCCCCCGGGCGCGCATCTTTCTGTCCGCATAATGATGACCCGCGCTCTGCGAAGACCGACCTTCGGTGCTTCACATTGTTTCGAGAAAAAGATCAAACGTCACGGTCTGTCGATTTTTTGAAGATCACAAGGTGAAAGTCATGGCGGAACGAAGCAGAATACGATCGCTGGCTCAAACTGCTGTGGGCTTCTCCGCAGAGGTTTCATGCGCACTACTTCATGATGACGAGTCACTTTTTGGCGTATCCTGAAATCGTAGGTCTGGTAACAGCGGTGCCAAGGGGACGTCGGATGTTGACTCGTGGGACGCAACGCTGATGCGAAGGAGAATTTTGCTGAGGCGTCAGCTCCGCCACTAGCCCAGCCTCTCCATGCCGGCGGTAAACAGAGTGCAGATGAAGAAAAATCGACCCAAGTACTGTCTACAATCGAGGAGGCTCGCGACAAGGGCTGTATAGTTGTTCTGGTAAGAACTGTTTCAAGAGCTTGACACTTGAAACCTGCTTACAGCGCACAACTCAGCGCGGGCCCCAACGAAGTTAGAGCGCTACATGAATTGTTTAGGCAGAAAGCTATACGTGTTGAGGAGACGTGGTGAGGCTACCAGGCACCCTCGGATTATGCTGGCATAATTATTGGCATAATTTGGTGGTTGAAAATTTGGAGCATAATTTGGCATCCTCTCGGAGGTAGAAGCATAACTACATGGTTGTACCACAGTTCTAGTATGTAGGCTACAGAATTGTGTACGATGCACCTGATCAGTGCTGATGGTCTGCATGGTAAAGGGTTTGGAGGTCATGCAGATAGTGTTTTCAATGAAAGGCAGGGTAGAAATCATGGCAATACATTATTGTATGCTCGAACTCGTCTTCTTCAAAGTTCTTTCTCACACTGATACAGCACATGTAGCAGAAGATGCGAGTGAATCAGCCGTTATCAGGTATCCCGGGGCGGACGAGATAGTGACGGGTAGTCCGCAAAACTCTGCGTGCATGTACATTATGCATGTTACGAATTGAGGACCACTGGATTTTAGCAACCATGACTGCACTGCAGGCTATGGATATTGCTCTAATGATTTAAAACGATCGAGGTATAGTTGAGGTTGGTCATGATGGAAGGAGAGGTGGAGCTACAGGAGAGATGAGCTGATTATTCGCAGGGTGAGTGTGACATCGGTTGTCAGAATATGACAATTACGAAGACAGTTGAACATGATAATTTTCAAAGTAACTCAAACTAATTTGGCAATGAAATGTTTTTTACAAAAGAGGTCAACTAATGAATAGAAGAGGTAATATTTTCTCTTTTCCATCATTTGATCTCAGAGAGTAGTATAATACTTACAATGCTGTGCTACTCCCTGTACTATCTCTAGCATGCATGGACACCTTGGTATGGGAATACTCATGTATTTTGTTGTAACTGTTACTTATGGCCATTTGCAAGTACGAAAAAGGCACAATTTTCCGAACTTTGATGCTCCATAAGTTCAACAAAGTGAATATGTATCCTCGCGTGCCAAAGTATAATATGAGGATTTTGTGAGCATAATGCGAGAATCCATGAAAGCATAATTCCATGATTTCACGAGCATAATCCGCTGGAGCCTAGAGGCTACCCATCACGGAACAGTGGCCCAGCGAGCTGACAGATGTGATAGATCGCGCTAAACATACTACTCTGGAGTCAGCGGCTGGTGTGGAAGTCATGTACCTGTGTGTCAGGAAGTCTTTGTGTATCAAGCCCTTGCCTTGGTGCTAAAACCTGTGCAGGCTGATGTCAGTGCAAGTGATATCAGCCCAACTAAACACAGGAAGGGAATGAACTTTTCCATGGAATGTTCTGCCTGTGGAAGATGTTGTGGAGCTGATGCAGTACGCCTGCAGCTCCACATCGGCACCGTCCGTTGAACAAGCCTGTACCAACCTACATGTATTTGCCCTGCGTCACTACTTGTACGAAGAAGCTTGTTCACCAGGGGTACACAAAGCCTGGTGGCAAAGCTGCATACAGTACATTTCGCAAGTTTTGGAAAAGAGACTTCCAAAATATCATTGTTATGAAACCGTAGAAGGATGTATGCGGCCAATGCATACATCACTAGGCGTTCTAACTACCAGATAAAACTATCAACATCTATTATAAACTCGGCGTTGATCCTAGCTTCTTCTCTACTCAGCACCTGCCTCTACCCATCACTTCGGCTGGCATATTTTCGGAAAGAGCCAAATACCTCTTCCAGCAGATTCACGAGCAGTACCATCCACAGCACAGAGATAGAACTTGTCTAGCTCCACAATGACATTGTCAACTTTTCCTTTTGAAGAATATGACATACAGATTTATTCTTCAAAGTTTGTTTGCAATCATGTCGGTTGAATTCTCACAGCATTGGTTCCAAAATGTAGCACAAAATCCAGGATTTTTGCTATTTTTCCTCAAATTTTGCGGGATAATAACAAAGAAATTGTCATTGTATCTACTTGAATATGAATGCAATCCACCTAAAACTTCACCAGAAGTTTAATAAAGGGTCACGAGTGAACAATCCAGCGAAAACTCAATTTCGCCAAAGTAGCACCGGAGGTTGGTTTTTGCAGAGCACTGGCCAGATATGCTAACTTGCCACGGGCCGAACAAAGATGTTGCGACTTGGCGGCAATTGGTAAAGAAAGTTTCTGCTCCGAACGTCGGAGCTCGCGCTTCCTGCCGAATGACTTGCAGGTTTGCCGGGTGGAATGTTCGACGGGTTTCTCGTGTGCTCCAGACGCAGTCGTGAGGCAGTCAAGTGTCAAGTCATTCGGCAGGAAGCGCGAGCTCCGCCGTTCGGAGCAGACACTTTCTTTGCCACGGGCCGTCGAAGTTGTTGCCAATGTTGTTGTGCCAATGTGTCTCCGTCTGCAGGATCGGGATATGAAGTGCTCTCGTGGGATGATACCAACCGGCCCGGTTACATGTCCAATTTTACCAGACGATCAGTTGCCGTCAACAGCACCAGCTTGACGTTTGACAGACCCGACCTCAGCAAGTACGGAGTGGTAGTTAGCCTTTATACGTTTGTGATCACTGGTCCAGTTCCGTGGAGTGTATCCCAGCCGTACAACATGACAACCATCACAACTCCTCCAATGCCCGACGGCACCTACTCGGTGTCGTTCAGGCATGAGGGCTATACGACACCTGACCGCTGGGTCGATGTTCGGTCCAGCTGGGGTAAGTGGTCTGAATCACCTTGCCTTGTGTGTGTTGTGTACTCTACCTATACGCAACTGGAAGCAAAATGGAAGCCATATAGCATGTACGTCTGCCCGCATGTAGAGGCGACGGTTTCAAATAGGATATAGGTTGCAAACCGGAACGGACTCAATATTCACTTTCTCTCCTGGTATTTTGATTAGAAAACATATGTCGCGGTGAGACTACGATGTGTTCTACTCCGAGCCAAAATTTCATGGCTCTGCGTTGACCAGAAGCGCCATACCAAGCAGGTGAGTTTTTGACATGTTGCTTCGCACTGCGACTTGAGTTTACGTCTTTCGAAAAATCAACTTCTTGTCGCAGGTAAACAGCGGCTCGTCTCTCGCCAATAAAGCACCGTATACCAATGAAAAGTAATGGAAGCACACACAAGGCGTATTGTTGCTCTGTACTGGCCGTCGTGCAGCGATAGCAATTACCTAATTTCAGAACTCAGAGTGAATTTGACGTGCACTCTATAACCTGTCCGGTTTGGAGCCACCTCTGATTTGAAGCGAAAAATTGGGCACCTTGGAGGCAATGGGCCAACACAAAGTAGTGGATCAGTTCGATTGACTCTGGCCTCAGAGCAAACTTCAACATGCCAGTTTCCTTCCACAAACATATTTCGAGTGAACAATCCACGCTGATGATCGGTTTGGGTCTATACAAATTTGGCTGTCAAGCCGTTCCGGTATCGAACCGTCTCTACTGCAGGGGCTAGTAGCCTTTCCCCCTCAAAGTCACAAGTTAGTGCACATGATCACATGCTGATGATCTTGGGCGACGTGGCTGCCTGACTAGCTCCTTCTTTACAGTGCAGCTACAAATACAGTCAACTTCGCTAATAACGACTGCGGATATAACGACAATTCGCGAATAATGACAGCATTTCCATGCCCAGAGCAAAGTCCCATCCAACTGTAATATATAATGAGACTTCGGGTATAACGACACTTCGCGAATAAGGACACTTTTCTGATGCCCCGCCGAGTGTCGTTATAAGCGAAGTTGACTGTACATAAATAAATAGTAGCCGAGTGATGAATCGCCCAGCTCTCTGTGCGTGGTGACATTGCTTTGATTGACACGCATACTGTGCACGTGTCGTCGGGGGGTTTTATTCCCTCGCACGATAGCCCTTCCGATTACTCTCTTCTACATCACACGCACGCCACACTCAGAGGACAGATTATTTTCGTCTTACTCCAAGGAGAGTCTCAGGAAGAAGGCACCATAAGCATGCAAGCATGCGCACAACAACAAGAACATGTACGATAATCTCCAACCGGCGCAGTCCGCGCGCGGTCCGCACCAACGTGCCAAAAGGGGCACACACGTGCCAAAAGGGCAGGGACAACATACTTCCACATGAAAAAAATGCATCCTCTCCTGAGGATGGGAGAGAAGAAAACAAAACGAGAAGACAGACAGGAGAAAAAGAAATCAAATGTGAACAACATACACATGCAGATACGCAGGGCCAAAACAGTAGGATACATTAGTAACTCCGGACAACGGGGGAAAAGCCAAAGCAAAGGGGTGGAAAGAAAACAGACTGGGCCCACCCATAGAGGGAACCGCCATCTTTCAGGCGTGGGCCCCCGGAAAACAACCACCTCGCCCTGGTGCGAAGCCAAGGCAAACCGACGCTACTGCGAAGACCGCGGCAGCTGAACCGGGTGACCAGTCATCTGACAGCACAGGAGTTGTCCGGAAAACCATCGCGCAGCCGATGGGGCTACGAAAACTCACAGAGACACACACAGAAAGAAAGAAACACGGACTGACGCAAACATCTCAGCAATACTAGGAGCCAAAATTCAGACAAGAAAAACCACAAGAAGGAATGGCAGAACAGCAACATTGAACACGCCTACGGATACAGGGGCAGTCTAGCCATGAGGACACCAGATAGCACACAAACAAATCGGTCACCAATACGCAAACAAAAATTAACATAGAAAAACCACAGGGCGCTACCCTGAATAACCACAGGCCTCTAACCTGAAAAAACCACAGGTCTCTAACCTGAAAAAACCCACAGGGATTGAACCTGAATATCACGCGTGAAACACATCCGCTCACGAAACACAAAAAAACACCGTCCTGAACCCTACTGGGATGCACAAAGGCCAGCCAGCAAAACACGGAAACCGAACACCCGCAAGGCGAACCGATACAAATAAGCGCTGGATCCCACCAGCCCACCAGGCAGACCGTGGCTCACCATGATCGGACGCCCCCCTAGGTGAAATGAAGAGACCCACGTGCCAAAACACAAATACCAAACAACACGCTCACAGAAATATTGCCACCCGGACCGTCAACGAGAATCTCAGAAGCATGTTACACCACTGGGCGTCAGCCATTCCACATGAGCGGGACAACCAGGCGGAGCACTAAAACGCTCGACACAAAACATGATTACTAGTAAAACGAAAAATAAAGCACTTGTACTTGAAACTGGAAACGACGAAGTGCCACCACATCGAGTAAATCGATGGGGACATCTACCAAACTGAAACAAATCGGACGACACAGGATCGGAGCAGTCCGACGACACCGAAACGACGTGCACCAGTGCACAACACAGGGCGAGTAAGCAAACACGAGCAAAGCTACCAATGCTGACTACCATGATGACGTACCAAGCAACACGATGAGCATGCACGACAGAACGGACAACAGAACTTTCAAGTCAGAAGGTGTGAAAACACAGTGCACACGACCACTCGAACAGCCAGAGGCCGGAGGGCGACAATGTACACTGGTTCAAAACACCGCACACACAACGTGGGCCACAATCATGTACTAACAAGAGCGAGGCTCGAACGAGGTACTTGTACACAAGAGAACAACCCGGGACTTCAATGCCACGAAGCGAAACAATTATTTTGAAAATCCCAAATCGAAGACTAGTACCAGGAGAACTACGTACAAGGTACCAAACATTACGCAGGGCAGACAAAGCATGCTCACCTGTGTAGGAGCTCCGAGGACAGGGTTGAGCAGATGGAGCAAAGCGGAGCCATGGCGAGGATGCGTGGAGAAGGCAAGATTTGAAGCCACGGCAAAAACGGAAACGATCTCAGGGTCGTGGGGAACGATGCCACTAGCTGGGCGCCAATTGTCGTCGGGGGGTTTTGTTCCCTCGCACGATAGCCCTTCCGATTACTCTCTTCTACATCACACGCACGCCACACTCAGAGGACAGATTATTTTCGTCTTACTCCAAGGAGAGTCTCAGGAAGAAGGCACCATAAGCATGCAAGCATGCGCACAACAACAAGAACATGTACGATAATCTCCAACCGGCGCAGTCCGCGCGCAGTCCGCGCGCGGTCCGCACCAACGTGCCAAAAGGGGCACACACGTGCCAAAAGGGCAGGGACAACACACGGGTGCCCCATGGATACATTTCCAAAGTCATTTGTCAAAAAAACTGACTGCTTTGCATTCTCTTCTAGCCTACTCAGTAGTAGCCAATCTATCAAGAGGTGCAGATGGTATCTATTCCTTTTCGCAAGGTATTTAGGTTATGAACGTTTCGAATGAGTGAACTGGAATAGCAAATAGGGTTTAAACTACTTGGTCCGCGTCAGCAATATTGTCGCTTATCTTTCAACTTTGTTTTTATGTCGTGAATGATCACTTGGCAGCCGATTTCATCCCAAGTTTGGTTAGTAAGTTAGTTTACTAGTACCTGAAAGGTTTAGCTAGATTTCAAGAGCGACGGGTGGGTGATTCTGATTGATACAGTGCCGCATCAAAATAGATTATCTTGTCACACGGCACAGGCAAGCGCAGCGCGACGCACAAGAAAGTAACCAGCTACTCAGAACCAGTTCCATTTTGCAAAACGGCCGAGATCGCTCACCCTCAGGGATCGCTCGCCAAGCTGAGATCGCAGTTCCCTCACCTCCGGCTCAACGCCCGGAGTATCCAGGGCATCGTGAAGATTTGCAAGTACTGTACGCGTTGTCGTCGTTCAAAAAAGATTTTGGGAAGAACGGCGACTGATTTGAAAAAAACACAGGTAGTCCTATAGAAGGCGACCGTCACAATCGACTTCCCTTTAGAAAACAACCAGGCAGCGGAGAGGAAGAGAGGTGAGCTTGCGAAAGTGAGAGTGTCGATCTCGAGCAAAACATATCATATATAAGTTGTCACCAGCGCCGAGAGCAGAGACGAGGAGGACCAAAAAAAGTATGAACCCTTCCTTGGACAGTAAATTCCTCATGGCCAGTTGCCATTCTATATTTTACCTTCCATCACAACAAGTTTTTTCATCTCAAGTGCACGCATTGATGTCCAAAGTCTTAGTTCGAATTGTCGAAAGATATGGTTGATAAATATGGTGGTAAGGCGAGACCAAAAAAATAGAGATTCCCGGGCCCTCCCGCACCAAAATCGAGCCAAAGCCAATTTGTTTTTTGAACAGTTCATACATGTACAGTACTGATCGTGTGAGTAGATCTGTGACGTGGAGTCACACAGACCCGAGCTTGTAAGACTCCCAGATGTACAGATCAGGGCCATCGTTGGCCGAAATATAGAAAAATTGAACAGGTAAACAGCGTATCTGTTGTCTGTAAAAAAATTGAATAAAAATTACCGAAAAATGCTGTAAAAAAAGTTCAACATGGCATGCACACATATAGCCCATGTACATACCGGGAAAAAAAAAAAAAAAAATTCACCCGCCCGCACCAATTTCACGTGGGTGCTGCCCGGGAATCTCGATTTTATTTTGGTCTCGCCTAAAGACACACCTGGAAATATGGCGGTAAACACACGCCAGCCCACACACGCTCTCTAAGCTGCAAAGTTCTGGCACAGAGCTCTCCTTCTCACCACCACCACCATCAGTTCGCGCCTGGCGCCTCGTCGATGCCTGGTTGGCGGTATCCGACATAGCAGTCTGGTACATCAAGTAGCGCATGGCACATAGAAGATGACACAGCAACGACATA